ATTTCTAATGTTCCAATACTTTAATTTTCTATAGTAGAGTAATTTCTGCAAATTTTCACAATCTATTGATTCAACTTTTTTCATCATCACCTTGTTCTTGTTTTTTGTATAATGTAAAATATTTCGCTCGTTTGTGCTAATTTCTAATTCATTCTTCTTATCACCAATACATTATCGATCTTTTCATAGTTTTTTTCATTATCACTATCTTTGTAACTCTCATAATTAACCGTATCGGCAATCTATCCTTTTGGTACTGTTAATACTTTAAAAGACGCCAATCTAATTGAGAAAGAAATAGTACACCAGTATTTGTTATCTTTCTATCCAAGATTACATTGACTTCTGGCTATCTAAAGCATACTGAGTAGTACATCAAAGCTTGCCATTTCCATAACGTAGAATACTTGGTTCACAACCACACTTTCTATTTCCACTTCGACATTTGGTATGTACTCAACAAATTGGCTTATTCTATTATTTGCCATTCTTTCCTTACCACCAACTTGGTTCCAAGTCAAGTCTTTTTTTTCTGTGTATCTTTTCAGCATTAGGTTAATTTGGAACCCTGGATCAATCAGAGCTTTTACAATATAACCATTGACTTTGGTAGTCCATACTGGTATAACTTCACCTATACTTGATTTGGTTGCTTGTAGAACACCACACACAATTCTAATTTTTGTATTTATATCATTAACTTTTTTCCCTTTTCTTCATCATGATAATACTTTCATTACTTCAACTTGGGCTTTTGGAGACTACTTGAAAAATTGTTCAAGATTAATTGTTATCTCCATTTTAGCTATTTTTTTAAGTATATCAAGTTTATCTGGCAACTTAGTGAACAGTATATATGATGTTATCAGTTTGCTTTCGCATTTTGTTTTCGTTAACTAATTTACTAATTTTTTCCTTCTTGTTTAGTTGCTCTGAAGATTTAGCTACTTTGTTGCCTCTTTTCCTTTACCAATAGGCCTCATATTGTATTGTTCATCAGTGTTCAATAGCTCTACCTTTAGATATTTGTTAGCTAATTCAGGATTTATCTTTATAAACTCTACTATCCATATGTCTATATTTTTAAACTTCATATTCATATCAGTTTGATTACTTTCTTTATCTCGATCTTGACAGTCTCTCATGATATGCCCTCTTTATTGCACAAATAACATGTTCGCGGTTTGTTGATATGTGGTTGGCTTGGCCTTTTGTTCATGCTCTTGATTGTTTTCGTCACAATGTTCTGAATGAGGCTTTCAACCTGTTCTTTCTTTAATTGACCTTCTGATTCTACACAGTTGATTTTTAAAGCAGCCAATCTGTTCACAAGCCATCAATATCAATGTTGAATTTATTTGTATAAGATGCTTCTTCAGATGCTGTACGATCTTTATTATTACTATAATCCTTTTTTTTTTATACTCGTCTATTGCTAATGCCTTTTTTTTGTCTTTTCATAATCCTTTGGATAATAGTTTTTAACTTTCATACGGTATGGATCCTTCAAGCCTTGGATATACCAATCCTGTTTCTCATCAGTCTTTAACTAAGCTTTTACAGCATCAGTATGTGCTTCATATCTATTAGTGTATTCTCAGACTGACTCTTTTTCTTCTTGATTCTGATGTTTTAATTACATGATCATAATTTTGGGCTTATTATCTGCCTTGATTTTATCCATAATTTTCTTTTTCAAATTACTCCATGTTTTTTCTTCTTGTACTAATTTTTGTACCCATGTTCTTGAGCTTTCATGCATGTGCATATATACTCTAAAACACATTGTATCTTTATCATACTTTTTTGATTTCGCATAACCTTCATAATCGAAAAGAAAGTTTTCAATATTGTCAACCTCAGCACCTTTGTACACAGATATTGTTGAGTCTAAACTTCCCATTATTCTTTTATTTTATTTTGTTTATTAATGTACTTTTATTATGACTCAATTAAAATAGTACCCTATAGGTTTGATTATTTTTATATTTTTACCAGTTGTTTGTATTATTTGTTTTACTGGTTGGTTATTTTATTCAGCTTGATCCCCAACTTTTGTTTTGACACTGCTTGGACTATGCTTGGTCTTTTGCCGCTTTTGTCTTATAGCTTGGTTTTTTCAACTTTGTCACTTATATAAGTCATTTGGGTTTGATTCATTATGAACTTGCTGTTTAGTTATATTGTTCATAATTTCAAAATACTCAATTCATAGCTTCTATAGCTTCCACAACTTAGTTTGATAGTTTGTATAATTTATACTGCTTGTTGTTGCAAGAGATGCCAGTTTTGCCCAGGTTCTTCTGACATAATATTAATGAATGTTCATAGCACTCAATATCGTAACCCAGAGGTTTGTATTATTATTTTACACTTGCTTTGCTCATTACTTTGTTTTCTACTTTCTTTCATCTGTCTACACCTTAATAGTCACTTCATTCACATTCCTTTTCAATTAAGCACTGTGATACTATTATTGTTACAGAGTTTTTATTTACTAGAAAATCGAAGGTGGGTTTGATCTTTAGGATCAAACCTTACATTTATTTACTGTATTATGCATAATTACATAATCAACTTTACATTATTAATTTTTACATTATAGATTTTATATTGTTCAATATGTTATAGACTAGTCATATACATATTATTACATATAATTACACTAACTATATATTATGATCTGATCTGGTTACTAATGTCCTGACACTGTTATCACGTGCTACTAATCAACTCCCAACAATTATACTGAATTAATATTAAAATTTAAAATTTTAAGTTCATTATATCTAGAGTTTATTATAAAAAGATTCATTATATCCAGAGTTGACTGTATACTATATTATTATTACTGATAATTAACAAGTTATTGACAAAATTAAGTACTATTCATTTAGGCAATATAATGTAGCTATTGATTATAACTATAGTTTCCAATAATATTCAATATTTATTAGTATCAGCTATGTATAATATGTATTAGCTAATACTAACAGGTTAAAACTTAGAATTTAGAATACATTGCTTACAAGTTAATTGTTTTGTACAACTATTGTATATATAAATAAATATATGGTGTTGGTATTATCATTTATATTTTCTGTTTTTTAAAATCAAAACCAGAAATAAAAATTAAGAATTAATAAAAGAATGATTAGTAAAAGATATTACTCAGGTTACCAATGTGTTTAATCAACTAAAAATTAATACTTGTTAAAAGCAAGCTAATAAAAATGATTCAGAAAGTATATTTTAGCTTGGTTATTGTTACAAACATGGAATTGAAGTAGAAAAGAATAAAAAAAAGCATTCTTTAATTATAAAAAATTAGTAAAGATAAATAATTATAACAGAATATATCAAGTTAGATATTATTATTATTTAGAAATTGGAGTTGATATTAATAAAAGTAAAGCATTTGTGCTAATGTTGCAGATGAAACTTAAATATTTCAACCAATCTAAATTCAAAATATTG